TTATGAAAGCGTTCTGAAATACATTATTTCAGTTAAAAGTGTACCTTCCGCTCATTTGCTTGTTAATTTAGAGCCTGTTAAAGCCTGTGTTAAGGATCTGATTTAAGACACCTACTCCCTGCTTGCTAAATAGGAAGCTTCTTGGAGAAGGTAAGAAGGTTTAAGTCTTCAGCTCCTTCAGGATTCTCAGAAAAAAAAAAAAATAAATATCACCCTTGAAAGATAAACGAGAAGAAGGGAAAAAATAATAATAAATTTTAAATAAATTAACATATACTAGAAATTACAAACAAAAGGATGTTCCTGGCTTCCTGAGCCTGCAGACATGAAATTTAAGAAGATGCTCATCAGTTGCAGTTTGCTACTTGGAACCTAAACAGCAGGGGAAAGTATCAGAACTATGCAAAAATGATAACTGAAAGTTTAAAAAGAGAGGAAGTTGATCCAAAACACCATTTCAAAACAAGTCTGAAGCTGGGGCAGGCAGGGAGGAGTTGTACGAATGTCCTTCACGTATTTTCTGGGTGTATTTTCAGCCTGGAAATTTGTAATGCCTGGGAAAGGGGTATAGTACCAGAGCTTCACTCTTTTCTTTGCCAGGTGCATGAGAAGAATACCAGAGCTGTTTGTCATAACAGACAGGTAAAGGAAAGAGGATTTCTTCTTTGCCAGGAAAAACTAAGGATACTGCTAATTTATCAGATATCCACTAAACAGAAGTCGACATGAAAAGTTCACCAGGATCCAAGTTATCAACCATTCCTGTTCCCTGACTGTTCAATTAGGAAAAACTTCAAACTGTGCATAAAGAATCAGATCTTACTGCATTGGGAAACTGCTTTAAAATAAGTAGCATTAATAATACGATTTCCCAAATACCCATGTGTTTTAAAATAGAAAAGAGGCTGAGCAGTAGCGAATACTCTGGCCTTTCACCTCTGGAGAACCAGCTTAAGCACATTCTGTTCCACATGTGCAAGCAATTTTCAAGCTCCATCTGGTATCTTAGACTGTTGTGTTTAAACATCAAATAGCGGCCTAGTCCATGGCAGAGACTAAGATCTAAAATAGGACAGGAGCCTTATGCTTAAAACACACACTCTGAAGAGGGCGTTTTGACTGTTCCTGCTTCTACAAGGGTTTATTCTAGCTCCGCAGCCTGCAGCAGAGCACTTCATGAGACTACAGGAGGATGAACTGGTTTAAAACTTATTTTTCAACTTTGTCTGCCAACTTGTCAGGAAAGCAACGTTTCCATCCATCTAGGGAGGGAATTACTGGGAGGTAAAATAGGCAACTAACATCCAAATATATTCTGATCTGAGTTAGGAAGCGTGTCTTTCGCTATCATCAGGGAAAAATTATGATATGCCACATGCAGAGGAGTTTGAATGTCCAAACCCAGTGAGGTGTCATGGTATGCAATGACACATTTGTGCATCATGCAACTGCTCTCATGCCTAATTTGTGCCCCCAACCCCCAAAACTCAAAAACTCAAAAACTTGAGTGATACGAAGAAAGCTGAGGCAGCTTTTCTGCTCCCAGTTCAGGGTGAAAGAAAAAAAAAATGTAGAAAGATAATATTTGGTACAAAAATCAGATTAAAAGCAATTTAGAGAGCAAAAGCCTGCTTCAAACATTATGGTTAGTCATACTACAAAAGACTACATTGTGATGTAGTATGATTTAGGCCAGGTTGGACAGAGCCTTAGGTGGCATGGTTTAGTGTGAGGGGTCCCTGCCCATGGGAGGGGGATTGGAACTAGAAAATCTGAAAGTCCTTTCCAACCCTAACTAACTATTCTATGATTCTGAGGAGGTTGCTTCATACATAAATTCATAACACAGCCATTAAATTCAGAGGTATTTTCAGGTAAGAAAAGTTGCAACTCAAACAGTCTAATAGTACAACAAACCAAGAAAATTATTTAAAGTACTGGTTTTCTTATACGGAAGCTTCAATGGCACAGGAAAAAAGAAAACTTAAAATGTCATGCTGCTATATATTTAGGAAAATCCACTTTCATAGCTAGAACTATTATGAAAGCCAAAATGATGAGCAGAGATGCCTATAGGTAGATATGTAGTTTGATTATCTATACCATCATTATCTTAAAAAACTCATCTTACGCCACTGCATATTGTTTCATTATAACGAAACTTGATTTCAATATTTGCCTGTTAAGAAGCTGCTCAGTAGGTCTAGCAAAGCCTGACGAAGGACAGTATTATTATATGTAAGATACCTTAAAACCAGACTGAAAGAAACAGAAGAAAAAGGCCTTTACTTCACCAATGGGAATATACCTTTATTAAATGGATAAAGGGCTTTAGCCTCAGTCCAGCTCAGCTGCTCATTTTGGTCTACTATGAAAAAACAGAAGTGCTTTAGGGAGATAAAAAAAAAACAAATGTAATAACTCTGTAAACAGGTGAAGGGTTTTCTTAAAAATCACTTACTGAAGAGAAACTAGGAAACAGCCTTATGCCACAAGCAACAATTCAGTATTGCCATTCAAACAGTTTTTGTTTCCTTGAGAATTATAGAAGGGAAAAAACAAACAGAAAACAAAAAAGAGTGCATAGACTTAAAGCTCAGCCCATGATACATCAATAAAAACAGGAACAGCAGCACCTTGGAGAGCAAGTCACCCTTCCAGTAAACCAGGCAGGAAAAAATCATCTTGATCCAGAACTCGGTCTGATATCAGAGTTATACCAACTTTCACTGTAATAAAGAGCAATCATGTGCCTAGAAAAAGCTTAATCCTGCCCTCCCCTCTACATGCATCTAACAAGATTAGAAGGCACATAGGAGCATATCTCAGTACAGTAAAGAGAGGTAAACAAACTTAACATACATTTTGGTAATCCCAAATTATTTTCATCAACTACAAATTCTAAAAAAAAACCCCCAGGAAAATAAAAAGTAAGCCTTTATTAAGGTATAAATCAATAATTTACAGGAATTTGGAAGAAACCTCTCCAAAAAACTGAACATGAGAACAAAGTGAAACAAGAGAACAAACAAACAAGTGAACCTCTCTAAACAAGTGAATAAGTTATCCAAGTATAATTTTTGACACTGGAAACTTAGAGCTTGATAATGGGTTTGACCTGACACAGAAATTCTTACATTTCTGAATCCTTTTCTAGTGAAGTGCATTGAAGGACTCACTATTTCAGGTTGCCAGTACTCAATGAAAAAGAATATGCAAATTGCATATGAAGAAATTTTTTAAATTAATAAATCCAATGTGCCATACATTGCTAGCTACAGCATTCACTAGGAAAAGAGAGGTAAAAAAAGGTACTAAGCATGAGAGTGTTTCCACTCAAAACACAAATCAAGGAGGAAAAGGTAAGAAACTGAAGTACTGCTTAGTGATGAATTCTGACCTTGAAGACAATGTAATTCAGTAATGAACCACACAGAGCATCAACATATTTAAAGCCTATATTGAACCAACCCTAAAACATATCAGAACATACCAGAGTATATACACTACTCACAAGCAACAAGATATTCTTCCTCAACTTCAAAGCATACAAAATATTTGAGCTACCAAGACTGCAATACTCCCTGACTTAAACACCTGCTTTGCCTTATTGCTTTAAATGAGCCTACCTTCCTTCACATCCCTGTACCCCCAGAAGCTCACAACAACTGACACACTGCAAGATCTTTGTGATACATACGATTTCTGATAGTTGACTTTGAAAGAATTATGACTATTTTATTCCAATCAGGGTGTGAAATAAACTCTAATGGTAGAGGAGGTGTTTGAAATATTCTGGACAAAAACACAAATGCAAAACCCCATCATGAACACTACCACCTACTAGCAAGCCAAAAAGTACCAACAACCAAAAAAAAAACCAACCAAACACCACCAAGACTCAGGATATCTTATGGAGGAAGACTTCACCTATAAAGACATTAGCAGCAGACACAAATACAGATATTCAATAAATAAAATTATAAGGGGAAAATAAGTGGAAGCCAGTTTTATATTGAAACCTACAGACTAAAAAAAATAAGCCCATGACAGAAATGTATATATGGTATGGTCCTGCGTTTCATTCTTCCATCTCACTGCTCTTTCTTTTTCAAAGACTCTTCCAAATAGGGCAAAGCTAGTATGAAAGGAAAGTGCATGAAGTGAACAAAAGTGAGTAAATCCTCTGCCATAAGGAAAAAAACAAACCGGACCAATACCCATGCACATACTGATTTTTCTAATATCACATATAAAAAGAAACCTGTAACACTGTGATAAGAAAGCGAGTAAGCACGTACACCATCACGGGAAAGTTCTCCATCTCTTACTGGAAAAAAATATAAGGGGTACAGAAGTCAGAATAAAGCAGAGACAGCTGATGCAAGGAAAACAGAAGGAACACAAAGTATTTATTCAGCCGCACTGACAATTGACAGAAGGTATCTGCAACTACCTTAAAAACCCCTAAGATTTCTACAATGAGAAGAGACATCAGCAGCTAATATTGCATTTCTCTTCCTCAGTATGAAAAATATGCATGACATCAGTTTGGATTTTTCAAGCCATTAGAGTTGGTGCATGCCATGGTCTCAAGTGACTAGCTGGAAAACTCAGCCGAAGGGCTGGAAGGACTTTTTAGTGCAATAAACTATCACATTACAAATACGACAAGATGTAAAACAAGAGCTGGAGAGGGAAATCTCCTTATCAATATTCCTGTTTACATGAAACAAAATCCTGTACAAAGTGAGAGTGCTGCATTACATAGTTGAAAGAAGCACCAGCAGTGTAACCAGCATGGTATCAAATGAGCAACAGGGCTGCTTTAAGAAACTAGACAAACACTACATCCTGAAGCTTACACATTGTCAGGCTAACGGGAACTCTGAAGCAGCAGATAAAGCTGATGTATTTGTTGTACACTTTCCAGCATTCAGGCTTTATTTGTCAGGGGTTGATACTCCCCTTGGTGGGTGGAGAAGCCGAGGGACTGGCTGACGTCACCCAAAGAGTGGAGATAAAGTGCAGTGCCCGCAGCTGTGGGATGGGTAAAACTTCCTAAGAGGTACACAGGCTTAGCCGCCTTGTCCAGCAGGTGCTCTTCTGACAACACCCTTCCTCCTACAGCTCAGCTCCTCACACAGACCTAAGGGAAACAGAGCAGTAACCAAGACAAAACTGCTCACAATGCCACAAAACGTTATCCTCCAAGGACCAGCACCCTGGGGATTCAGGCTCTCAGGAGGAATAGATTTTAACCAACCCTTGATTATAACCAGGGTATGTACTCTTTCCATTTCCTTTCTATGTATTACATGTATTAATTGTTGCAGATTTTTTGCCCTTTACTTTCTGGAGTTAAGAGATACAGACAAAGCTGTGAGTAGATTAGCAAGTAGCTGCTAGTTCTGAGCACAGCCAGCTGAATGTTAACAGTTCTTACGAGTTTTGTGTGACGTTTCTGGGATTGCTTTATTAGTCTAAGACTTTAACAGCATCAAACTCAAAAATTATATTCAAGTGTCTTGGCAGCAGAAAAACTCTGGCATGATTTCCCCAGGCATTCAGATGAGAAAATTAATTTTGAGCTTACTAAAGGCCAGACCCCTTTTTTAACATTTTCACAGCTAGCCTCTGTGATCACTGGGGCAGAAGACTGCTTGGCAGCAGCTCCCCATGTCTGGAAGTTTGTGCTTTGCAAATTCTGTGCCAACTTTGTAAGATTAATCCGACTCTCATTTAATGAAATCAAATTCTGATTACTGCCAGCAAAGGCAACAGCACCTGGTTTCACATATGTAGAGGTTTTCACCTCCATGAATCAGTGAATTATTAGAAAGTTATCCAGTCCTGGCTATGAAGGAGAGTTCTTTGGCGTTTCCTGCCATATTTAGAAACAGACAATTTGCCTTACCCTCTAATAAAGGGCAAGAATCCAAGCCTTCATTTTTGCATAGATTTTGAGCTATTAATTGAAATTTATTTAAGAAATCAGCTACTCAACGAATGGAGCATATAGAAGACTGTCAGCTGCCTGCATCTACACACAGATTTACTCAAAACAAATGCTATGGACTTTGATAACTTTTGAAAATTGTGTTCAATGCACATCACACTAGAATTAGCTCTCCTTATATTTTTGCTGCTTTTCAGAACCCCAGAGACACTGAGTGTGTGTTCCCTGAGCCTCCAAATCACCAGTGCCTTTTTTTTTTAAGCCCTGTACTATGACGCAATATATACACTATGCCTGGTATTAAATAAACGTCAAGAGCCTTGAAGGATGGATACCACTGGTGATGCCTTGCAGTAAATATGCCTCTAAACAAGAGTCTGTAGAAAGTTTAAGGATCAACCTTTCACATATTGTACTACTAAAAGCTACTTTCATTTAACCACTTATTCCAGATTTCTATATGCATCAAACACTTATTTTAAACAGAAGTAAACAAGAATGCTATTAATTGTCTGTATGTAGCTTCATGACAAATACTCATAGGACACAAGAAAACTTTTGGAGAAACAGGAGACAAAAGCATTGAATAAAAAAAAAAAATCTCTGGATGTTTTGGGGCCTTCATTGCCTTTTATGGGCCTCCAAAAGAAAAACAGTTTCCATTATCTCTAATGAAAAGTATTTCAGTGGTGTCTGGTTTGTATTTTCTTTGTGTTTAGATTAAGTGCAATGAAGTTTAAAACAGCAATAACAAAGGATGTTTCTATAAATGTAACTTTCTAAAGAATAAATTATTTTGCAATTGACTCATACCTACTAAATGCCTTACAAGACATAAACCACGGCTTTCTAGCATAATGCAGGAATGCTCAAATCACACTGCAAGTAGAACTAAGAAAGGAAATATAGAGAAAAATTGTATGTTTAAGCTTGCTTAGCTCAAGTTAAAGAAAATTAATGGTAGATTTGTTTAACCTTTTTGTTGCGTCAGCATACAATTACAAGAGTCCCTAGCTAAGTATTAATTCAGTACCCCTTAAGAAGTAATGAATATTTCACAAGATTCATGTGCCTTTCTGGGGGGGGCCTAGGTGTTCCTTTCATAAAAGGTATCACCAACAGACCATTTACATTTGGCTTACCTGTGCCGGCAAGAAAAAAAATTATTAGCCATTACAAATAAATAGAAATTATTTTTAACACATTTTCAATAAAATAATTGGGCAGGTATTAAGTTTGATTTACCATAGTCCTTGTTGAGCAAGGGGAAGTTTTTTACCAGGACTTATCAAGACAGACAGACAACATAAGAGATTATCATCCACCCGTCTAAAGAACAGATGTCTCAAAAACCCATCTGCGATTTCTTCCATTGTTTTGACCATTTCAAGCACATGCAAAAAACACAAATCACGATTCACTAGGAAAGTAGGAAGAACAGGAAGGGACTAAAAATAAATATTCAGATTCTATTAGGGTCAGAAATTAATTAACTAGAAGTAATGAAAATGTTTCTTGACATCTGTGGAACTTTACACAGATGCAAAGAAATTACATCAATGAAACTAATCAAAATCATAGTCTTAATGAAACTGAGTATTTTCAGTTTATTCTGACTAGAAGATACATTTGGGTTAAACATTTAGAGGAATGCAATCCTAGAACTCAAGTCATTAAATAGCATTACAGGAACTATTGAAACTTGTAGAGGTTAGAGGGAATGGTGAAATATTATCAACTCTAGATTGAAGTTCTGTTTCAATATAAACATTTGCAAATCAAAATGCAAATATTTATATCAACTTAATTTTATATTTAGCCACTCTCTCTGCAGACATTCATAACTGCCTTCAGAAAAAACAGAGCCTGAAATATTTATGAAGGTGTGCCATGAAGAGCTGCACCAGTCTATTAACAGATGCAGAGAGGGTTTTTTCAAAGTTTCATAGGAGACATTGCCCTTGTGTGGTTAAATAGTTATCTAATCTCTGACAACATCTGAATGTTCAATACATATCCTTGTATCCATCCAAATCTGAGATACCTGGGATTACACAAGCAACAGGCGTGCCATACAGACATGTCCTGAAGAGCAAGACAAAAGTTTTCCCAAAGCACCAGCAGCATCTACCTCATGAAGCCAGGGTGAGCAAGCAACAAACACTACAGTCATAATACAATTCTGGGTTCACAATATACATTTAATGTGTCATTAATAAGTTTCTTAAGAAACTTTTATTACTGAGTTACCCACAACATCAATATTATACCTATGATACGGTATGATCTTGCAATGCACAACCTGGTCCCTTTCTACAAAACATAGGCTGCAGGACTTTTGTCTGCCCCACTTCCCTGTAAGTAACAGTCAAGATTTCTCCCCTGAAACACTGGGAAGACAGAAGAGCTGGCACCCAGCTATATTCCTCCTACCCCATCCTATCAGCAGATCTCCAGCTCTTACCATCAAATCCAGGAAGAGCAGACAAGGGAAAGGATTATACAAGGGCAGATAGTTCTGAACCCCAGAAGGCCTGGATAAGTAGAGTTCATTACCCCCATCAAGGTGTTAAGGGCAAAAAGGCCCAGAAGACATGTCCCAGAATCAGTTCAGGTAAAGAATAGGAAACACAGACATGGCTCTTTGCCTTCTTGCTCCCATCAAAAGATAGTAACTCTATTCCACTATACAGTGTTATCACTGCAGCTGGTGATAATACACTAAGAAAATCCAAGGGATTGTGCATTATTACCAGCAACACAGAGTGCATTAGGTCCCATAAGTGGCACAGCTGCAAGAAAATGTACCATGCTAGATAGATATGCTACTTTATAAGGCACGATCATCATCTCAGTACATCGCTGTAGTATGCCGCAGACATAGCAGATGAATTGTTGTGACATGTAAAAAGCATAATCTACTGAATAATCTATATAAGTGTTATTCAAGCAAGCTTACTCTTGAGAGGGAACCAAGAATGGCTGGGTTTGCCAATTTTGGGTATTGCAGCATCAACAGTCACACTCAAACACTAGGCATTCTGCTGCAGTTTGTCATTCTACACGTGTCCACAACATGCTACACAAAGTCAGGAGCTATTCCGGGTTAGAGGAGCATGATCATATCTTTCCCTCCCCCCATCTTATTACAATAACGTAAGTACTCGCAGTCTAGTTCACTTAATTACAGTAAGTTGTTAACGTTTCAGAAAAAGACTATTGTGGGGACATCAGACCTAGAATTTACACACAACTTCCTCAATTCATACCCAAACAGGTTATTCAGGCACTTTAAGACTTTGTTAAGCATACAAGTCCATTGTTTTGGAAGATGAGGGGATAAAAGCCTCCAGCTGGCCATAAGTATCCATTTGGAGAGTTTGCCTAACTTGATAACAACTCATGCATTGCAGTTTGTTACAGTGAAATCAAAAGTGAGTTTACATGCTGGAATGCAGAAAAAAGCCCAAACAAACTCTTAAGTTCTCTGAGAATTCAGACCCACCTAACAGAGATGGACAGCAAGAAAGGGGAGAGAATGACTATTTGTTTGATTTTGCCACTGTTTCAATACTTTTACAGTGCAACACATATGAAAAAAAATATTTCTATCTGTCTTTTATGCTGACAGTATTGTCACCTTCAGAAGCAACATGTCTGCCAGATTCACTATAGATGGGTTTCAGAACATACTGGAGGTACACTGGACAGCTTACTTTCTTCCTCTGCTGGAAAACTGGGAAACACCACAATTGAAGAACATCTCCATAGCATGCTTTCCAGCCCTCCAATAACACTTTAATGATTGAGATAGATAGCACTTGATTTAGCTTAGCAGAACCCATGGTGAGAAAAATTCTCTCAAGTAGCTTTTTTACTTCATACACAGCAAAGCAGAGAACTGCTCTTGTAAGACTACATGGACATTTTTGTCCTTCACACTGGGATTCATTACTTTGAAATAAGCAGCTAGTGTTATTTTGGATGAATCAGCTTGCCCCTTTGTTCCGCTGTTCCAGAAGAGCTGAATTCCAGAAGCCTGTGTGCTACATCCATTAATTTGATGTTGCTGTCTTGGTCATAAAAGGTCACCGAAGATGGCAATACACACCTAAGGGACCTAAATCCCACTCAGAGACCGAAGAACTGTTTAAATGGGGTGGTAGTATAAAAAGTCACCTGTTTGCAAATAAAGGCCTGCAATCCTACAACAAGTTTTAGTAGCAGCTAAGATAATAGCCTCTCTACAATAGTTATTTTCAAACAGAATTGTGTTGCATTTATTTTAACTATGATTTAGAAGATTATTAACAAGCACAAAACAAAACCACTAATATTTATCTAATATTTGTACTAATATTTGTCCTTAAATGTGGTAAGACCACAAGTGGCTACATTATCCAGTCAATGGCACATCATGCACATGAACATTAAGTAGCGCAATTTCTTAACAGCTCTATGCTTCTGCTACCGCCTAGAAGTGCATGGGGAAAATGTAACTATTTTTTCATCAAGCAAATTACACAATGGCAATTCAGACAGAGGATTCAAAGTTACAGTAACTTCAGAAATAAGAGTGGAAATTATTTAATGCAAAAGCGTAATACAATTTCCATTTAATTTGATGGTATGATAACTAAAGCATTTATATGGTGATCTGACAATAGAACTACAGAGGGTCTGGCAGAAATAAGAATTTACCTTTTTTGTAAGCATTCATACCGTTGTTTACAGGCCCCTTCCCTCTCTCCCCAAAGCACATAGGGAAGCATGGTGAAGTTTATTTTCTCTATCAATCTTCAGGTATGCTTAGTGCTCAAGCAATTAATTTCTGCTTTTTTTTCAGATTACACCTGGAAGCAAGGCTTCAGCTGCTAACCTGTGCCCTGGTGATGTTATCATAGCTATTGATGGTCTAGGCACAGAGAACATGACACATAATGATGCCCAGGAAAGAATTAAAGCAGCAGCACATCAGCTTTGTTTGAAAATAGAGAGGTATGTGTACATGTCCACTTACTTCTGAAAGATACTACCTGACCAACTGATTACACAGTACAACTATTACATAATGGAACTATTTTAAACAGCTTTAAGAATTTCACAAAACCTTTAAAATCACAAGCACCCAACCCTACCTGACCAACTCGGGATCAGGCAAAACTACTTAGAACATGTCTTCATGGTCACAAGAATAGCTTCCCTCAGACCACTCACCATGTTTATTGAGCTGTGAACCATACCACCTACTACTGCCTCTGCTGACTCCATAAGCTCTATGCTTGCTGTCAATAAACAGACAGTTCTTCATATTTTGGGGAAACACTAAAACCCTCAACCAGCTGCCACTTGTTCAGACACCTCTCTGCCCTAACACTCCCTCGCCACAGCTGCTTGTCATTGCCTCCTGCTCCCAGTCACAGACAAAGCTCCTAGTACATCCTTCCATTTAAGGAAAGCAATATCAGGTCAGACTTTGACAACAGGTAACAAAGGAGGGGGGGTTGAAGCCAGCCTCTTTGGTCACAATGTATTTAACCAAATACAGGATTCTCAATGTTAAAAACAAAACGAACCATAAAACCCCCTCTTACCTAAACTGCAGGAGTCCAAAGACTTCTTGTTGTTTCATGTCTAGATTCAATCATCTTAAAGGTCTTTTCCAACCTGTTTTCAACTAAAGCCAGCAAGAAAAACAACCTAAATCTTCACATCTCCTAACTGAGTTTGCTCAGGCTTTAATCAGAATCACCTAGTGCATATTTTCAGCTGTCTACAATAATGAGGCAGCTCTGACTGACCTGAGGCACTCAAGGAGGCACAGCACTTTAGCTGACCACAGTATTCCTTTCCAAATGGAAAAGATGTTTTGGAGGTGTTTTTTTGAAAGAAGCATTGTCTAATCACCCAAGCACATAACACAGTTAAAATGTCCTACAGTCAGTTCTAGGCTCTGTTACAGATTGACATCTACCATTTAGCAACTCTCTTAGGAACCAATTTTCAAAATATGGTAAGAATAATTGTGTCTACGCAGTATGCACATCTTTTTAAATGCTAAATGTTTGTTATTTTTTACCAAACAGTACTAAATTAGTATTCAACATTAATATTACACTAAAGTTGTCTGCCAAGTTTCACTTTGTCAATGAAACCAGAATTGTAACTGATATTGGCACGTTTATCTCTCCCTAAGTGACTGAAAGAATCATCTGTGCAACTTCTATTTACAATTGCACACATAGTTTGCATACCTCCGTTGGGGAGTGGGGGAGAACGAGCAAGTGAGTGAGCAGCTGTGTGGTACTTAGTTGCCAGCTGGGCTTAAACCACGACAATTGCACTCCTCCTACATTGAAAAGCAGGCTTTGCTTGGATATTGTGATCATAAAAAAAAGAAACTGATGCTGTTCTGGGTTAGAATTATGACTAATATATTCACTTATTTGTGCAAAATAGTCTGAGGACCCAACATTCATTCTATCAGCCATTAGAGAAAACAAAACTCTAGAAATTGTGGTCACCTCACATCCAAAAGGTACTAGTTTTTCTTTCCCTTTGCATTTAGTAACTACTAACTAATTATTTCCTATTGTTCACAGTATATATTTTTTTTATAGTAAATGCGCTTTTTGTATATTGTTTACTTACACTTTATATGTCATTGAAGTATTTTTTTTGTGTCAAATTAATAAAAAAGCATAGAACAAACTGTGTATTCTCAAGCTGCATTATATTTTAGAGGGACATATAGATCTAACTCTATAGGAATTCAATTTATTTAAAATCTACCTTCCTTTCTTTCCAGGGCAGGAACCAAATTATGGTCCCCACAAGTTTCAGAAGATGGCAAAGCACATCCCTTCAAGATAAATTTGGAAGCTGAACCACAGGTATGAATTGTTAAAAGTTACCTAACCATTTCCATTCACCTTTTTATACTCTAAATTATCTCCCTTGCATTCATTAAAATTATCTGATTAGCACTTCATCCATTATCTACCTGTTTAAGCTAATACAAACCATCTCAATTCCGATATATACGAACATCATTTTAAGTGACTGGATGTTTTGGGGGGGGGGTGTCAGTTATAACTGAAACCAAACATTAAGAAGTTACAACACATTCTCATTTTTCTTTAAAAATGTACATATCACCACTGTTAAGTAAAATATCCTTTTATTCTAATACAGTTTAAGTTGCTGTAACTTTTTTAGAGATTCTTCATCATATAAGGAAGTTCTTCAATAAGGGATAAATGTCAAGTAGCAAAGCAATACACTCATCACATCACACAAGTCATTTTGATGCAACAGTCAGAGAGATCCATTAATGCTGGGTCTCTTCTATACATTTTTATACTGCGCCACACAACTGCAAGTTACAAATTTGTACAAACCTCATCCACTGGTCAATAAGGAAACCCTTTACTACTTCTGACCAGCAAAGTCATGATCTCTGTATACAACCAAAGCAAATCCAACAAATCAAAATCCAACTTTCTTCAAACTTACAGCTAATCCCTTGTGCAAAGCTATGAGCAGAAGACTCCGTATTGTTAAGAGTTAATTTGATAGCTACTGTCTACAACTAGTGCTTTATTCCTCTGTCATTCCTCTTTAACCTACATGAACATTTGCTGTTCTTTCAAGAGGGGGAAGGGAAGAGAATTCTGCTAATCCTGGAAGGCCAGGATCAAAGCAAGTATGTCAAAGTATTTATTCTATGCTAACCTAGAAAAAAAATGTAAGTGCAGATTCCATTTCAAGAAATCCTATGCAATAAATGCTTCCACAAATTCTGGTTTCACAGGGATACTCCAAACACAAATGCAGCATTTCAGTGTTCCAATTCTCTCCATTCCAGTCTAAAAATTTGCATTAAGTGATACAGCAAACTTCATCAGAAATAACATATTTTCAGCAGTATGAGATAGTATAGTGAAGAAACAAAACTATTATAAAAACATATTTTCATGGAATAGCGAGGATACACATAAAATCACAATTGAACAAAATCACTAAAAAAGCTATAGAGAAAACCATGTAGGCATGTATAATGAGTAATCCCTTTGCATGAAGGCTGCATTCCTAAAAAGGATAGTTACTTAGAAGTAAATCACAAGGTTTCGCTAAGTGGTATTTGGCAGACTACTGAAAAGCAGTCTCTGTTGAGCAATTAGAAAAACTCTTTTTCCAAGACTAAATAGAAAACTCGTTCATTTTAGTGTATCCCTCCTTTCTCACTAGGAAAATCAGGAGTACTGAATATAAATAGTAGGTCCCAGAAAAGTAGCAGTGCTTGTAAACAAACAGGCTTTCTGTTTGCAGGCTAACAAAAGATAGTTATAAATGAAAATAAAACTTTTTAAATTGTTCAGCAATTTGGCTACATTTGGCAAAAAAAATCTTACTTTAGCTTTAATGAATGAAAACTGTTCTACAGAGGCTTAGAGATGGTTATGCGAAAACTTGGAAGCAACTAAATACTGCGCCTACTAGCAGCTATGGAACAAGGAACCTTTACACTGTAGCAAACTTTTGCATTAGGTTGAGCATCTCCAAAGAGTCATTTAGTGCTACAGGCAATTGCAATAGCACAATGAAAGCTCTCACTACTTTTACCTTTGGGAAGAGGAAACTGAAGCAACAATACTAGTAAACAACTTAGAACAGTAAGTGGCTGACTGAGAGCTGCTCTTGAAAGCTCTCAGTCATTTCCACATAAAAACAGCCACCTGATTTCAGTAGTCAGGAGCAACCTATAGTGTGATGGGTAAATAACAGGAAATAATAGACTACCTGAAGTACTACTAGTACAGTCACATTGTATTTTTGTATTAAAGCAATTTAGAACATAAGGTTCTCAAAGCATATAATTACAAAGAGAAAATAAAACAATTAAATGGGAAACTGAATCTTTTAAAATTACTTTTAAAGTCCTTTCTGCTGCATTGTTGATGTAAAACGATACTATGACCTGTAATTTTTTCTCTGTTACAATTCCTTTAACTTCATCTAAAATGAATTTGTTTCCATTAAAAAAATTTCTTAAATTGTTTTTATTTGGGCTTTTCTTCTCTGCTTCTATCTTTGCCTTTGAACGTTTTGTTCAGTGTGACCAGGCTTTTGGCCGTGAAAGATATTATACATTCCTGGAAGATAAAAATACACTATACACATAAATAAGTAAAAAACATTTATAAAAAAGCCCCAACACACTATTCTAAAAAGTAAGCTAGTTTATCACTTAATTCACTTGTATAAGACCACCCTGTCTTCCACAATAGCATTCAGAGATAAAGATTTTAGTCACACGATACCTCCAAAATGTAAATATTTGTTACTGTCTTAGCAATTATTCCCAAGAAATGCCATCATGTGCTCTGTGTTGGATGTATTTCTACAAACTTTGGGGGCTGCATTCATTCTATTCCTGATACCTATATCAATGCAAAATGTAGTTAGCCCTGCAAAAAGGACATCAGTCAGGTGGAAAAAAATTATGAAATGCAGTACTGTTATTCTTAAACATTCCTGATCAGGAATTTCAACAACCTCCAGTTCTCATTTAGCTTTTGAACTAAAGGAGGACTTTTCCCAGATTCAGTGAGATCCAATAAACACAAGAGCTGGACTATTTTTTCTGCTGTGTGTTCTGTCACTGACATTTTATATGAATAGATGAGTTTAAAAAAAAACAAAACAGAATTTAAGTCTAATTTCAAATACTTGTTTCACAACTGTTACATTGTAAACATGCTATTACTTCTGTGCTGTTCATTTGTTAAAAAGAAATAAAAAAGGGATGAAATTACAATGTTCACAGTTGCTTTTGTTTGTTTTGCATTATACATGGATTTAAATCAATTTAAACTACTTTGACATTAATATCTTTCATTAAGTAAACGTGATCCTAAACACTAGTAGATTATTTCCATTTACTAATACATTTTGTTAACTGCAACCCAGTTCTATCAGACAGAAACAAGGAATTGCAAGTAAAATATTTGTGCTCATTTATTTGATTGCTGCTTTCAGTATCCTCTTACAGTGCAATGCCGCTAAACATTTTCATTTAATAAAACTGCTTTTTACTGTTTGCATTTTCTGGTTGCACGTTCTATATATCCATGACTTTTCTTTAGGTCTGTTCCTAAATGTATTTCTGAAACCATTGTTTTAATTGAAAACAAAGGGCCAATTCACATTCAGATTTTCATGATTCACCAAAACTGAGCAGATATTGTCTGAGAAAGGAAATAATGCTCTGAGGAATGAATAAAATTCTACAGATGTCAAAGATATGCTAATCTGATCTGCTCTTATTATCTTAATTTATTATGTGGATTTGAATATTCAAATATCTGTTTTGGTTTTTGGTAATAGGTTGCATTTGTTCTAACTGGAAATTTTTCTAGCAATCCTAAAAGCTAAGGTAATCTAAAAAAGGTATTTATGCATCATAAAAACACCGGAGGAAATTATCTGGACCAACAAAACTGTATTTCAGAAATAAGCATCGGCAGAATGATTTCAAATTTAGCCATTTCTGGGGTTTACTTATTTATGATGATTTCATATTGTCTGTAACTTATAGCATCACAATTTTGATGCATACATATGCTTCTAAGTATGGAATGAATTTAGAAGAATGTCCTCAATCTGATGTACAATCAAGACTATTTCAGTTAAAAGAAGTATTTAAAATTATGCGTTTTCTAGGCAAGACATTTACAATAATATCTTCATACTTTTGCAAGTCCCTCCATTAGTATGGAACAAAAATGCAGATTAGCACTGAACTGAAGCAATTAACCTAACTATACATGAAACATTTCTAAAATAAGAACATAAACAGTGCAAAATCTAGACACCAATACAACAGGTTTCTATAATATTCATCCCTCTCATTTCTTTTTAAAGTTGCACAGTAATTACAAATGCGGAATACCTTCTGTTTGCCCTGAGCCGAGAAAAGAACAGTTTCTGAATGTGTATGGCTTAAGTAGCATATAGAAAATTCATGGAAAAATATAGTATGCTTGCATCAGTTAAAAAATAACAAAGTTGCAAAAGTAAAAAATGCAGAGATTAACAATACTGATGTTGTCAGTTTTACTCATTTCTAGCTTTGGTGTGCATTGTAGCTTTGTGTATTTTGTCTGCCTATCATGTACAGGAATTCAAGCCTATTGGTACAGCTCATAACAGAAGGGCCCAGCCTTTTGTTGCAGCAGCAAATATTGATGACAAAAGACAGGTAGTGAGCTCCTCCTATAATTCTCCAATTGGGCTGTATTCATCTGGAAATATTCAAGATGCGCTTCATGGACAACTGAGGGGTCTCATTCCTAACTCATCGCAAAAGTGAGTACTGGTATCAACTTATAAAACATGGTCATTTGTGGTACATCACTGTCTGTTCTGTTTTCAATTAAAAAGTCCAGCTCTTGCTGTTTTTTTTCAATAATCAGGTTTTTATTGATTATCCCCAAAAAATGGTGATGAATGAATCAATTTTTTCCAACACAGTAAACTATCCCTTCAGCTCTGTAGTAGCGATCCTGCAGGTAGCCAAAATTTGCCCTTTATGTTGGGCTGCAACAGTACCTACCATCCTTCTCTCTTATAACTGCACTTTACTCTGAATGTTTCTGAACACTAATGTGATTGTATTTTGAGTACCAGGAATGCACAAACTAAACACAATTACTTCATGGTTACAGTTTTAAAACTTTGTTAGCTACTTTTTAAACCAGATATGTGCATTTGTAGGCCAAAGAAGTTATTTTAACCCTTTTTTCTTTACAGGATATGAACTACTTTGAACACAGGCATAATATTCGGCCCAAACCTTTCATAGTCTCAGGCCGAAGCAGGTTATAAATTCTGAGTGCTGTGCTGGATTTGGATGCATGGTGTTATTTTTTTAATGGATACTCACCATTCACATTAATAAAGCATACTGATGCATTTGATATTTACTTATAGTCGTATATAGCCTAACATGGAAATGAAGGGCAAAAAAACACCCAACAACAAAAACAACCCTGAAATGGCTGACTTACAGAAATCAGACTTGAAATCCAAAATGCTATTTCCAAAAGAAAGCAGGTCACACTCCAATTTTCATTATATTGGTAAGAAAGAGTCTGAACTAACTGTATTCTTGAACCTGATTCAGTTTACAGTGTAACACCAACTATTGTATACTTACAAATCTGTGGCACTCTGAAATTCTTCTGTCCAAATGCAAATATATGTAATTTGTTAACTTGCTAAATAAAAGATAGCTAATTACATAAGGTATCATATAGGCCACTCAGAGATTTGAAGTTTGCTTTTCAGCAGACCTCTATTCAGAAGGCAACCTAACAGAGCTAAAACAGAAATACTTGATGCCACAGATATGTCAAGCTTTAAACTGAAAAAAGCTTATGTATTTATATCCATCATTTTAGTGTAATATTTCTCTATTATAACTGGGGATTAAGTGCCTCACTATTATTTACATTATTATATATAAAAAGGAAAAAAAATGCAAACTCTGTGGCTAAAAATGCAGGGAAGCTCAAAAGCACCCAAGTGATGCAACATACTGTGATACTACCTTTTATCCTTTCTAGCAGTAGCATTTTTTACCAGTGGACTTAGTCATCTCCATTCCATTCTGACAGTTAAAACAGCCTGCCTTAATTAAAGACTGACAAACTAGACCAGAAAAACAGGATGATATTTGATTCCTGTGTTTTGTGAGATGAATTACATTCTTCAATCACCTGAGTGATAAAGAGGAGACTGTAGAAGATGGATAGAGCCCCATCCTTCTAAGAACAAGAACTATAAATGCAGAACACCGCTGCAGTGGAGAAAAGCTGCCTGTCTCTCTTTGCAACCTGACACTGAACAGGATAAAAGACTAAAACAGTCCTCAGCAAATATGCACAGCCTCTAAATGTAGGCAGCGCTTCCACAGTGTAGATGTACTGTACCAGCTGACTGTTGGACCACTAGGTACCATTTACAGGTACCTAACTGGATTTATGGAGATTCAAATGAGTATATGAAGTACCTTATTTCCTAGTTCAGAAACCTCAATTAGACACTATTTTCCATGAAAATACTGAAGTAAATGGCCACTTTCCAGCAAGTTATATGGGAAAAAACCCTGCAAAAAAATTAACCTGACAGTGATGCAAGAAGTTTCACAACTTTAGTTGGGCAATGTCTGTCAGGTGTCCTCACACCAGAGAAGTCTGTACTCACAAACTGCTGAATCTCTGACACAGGGTATCACTTCTAAAAATCTTGGTTGTCACATTGTTTATCTGCTGCTTTTTCATCAGTCTGGCTTGATATATACCCCCTGCTAAACACAGCAAAACCCAAACCACCGCCTTGACTGTAAATATCCCTTTAGGACAGACAGCTGAGGCTAAATAGGACTTTGACTAAAAGAAGACTTAATTTTGGAGTGTGGGTTTGAGCTAACAGAATGGACATTGGTCATAATTTTGGACTTTACTCTGGCAAAACTAACTGGAAATTATATTTAATCTATATTTTCTTTATACTTATAGTTTATTCTAACATTACTTCGGCTGCTCACATCAAGAGTTGTGCTTTTTCTAGCCTTTTCCTGTTACGTCCCATTTACTAACACTATCAACACTGACAAAACTTACTCTTCTGCAGGATTTAAAGGTGGTTTTGATTCTTCTGAAAGAAAAGACCATAAATTTATAAGTTTCCTCTGTGTGAATTTTTTAGCTGGCTCATGCTAGGCAATGATGTAGAACTGTACTTTTGCTTTAAGGCTTGCTTGCCATTTCTGGAATTAGCTTTCTTTTGATACATCTTTGATGGTAAAGTATATATTTCTCTCTGTATTTTTGAGAAAGTGGTCCTACACAAATTTGCCTCTGAATCAAATGGAACATTCTGGGTCATGTTCTCCACCTGAGAGTAGCTACTGGGCAGACTACTGTACTATCAGAATATTCTCCCAGCTTTACACTGAATCATTCAGCTTGGAAAGAAATAACCACAACACTGATACGCAAATTGAGGAAAGAAATTAAGCATTTAGCATCTCACAGCTCTAAATACTACCTAAATGGTAACCAATGATTGTGGAAAGCCTGGGTTATGTGCTTTTACACAGCAACAGCAAAGAAGCATCCTGTAACAAAGAAAGCTTCTGGAGTGCTATGGAGAAAAGACTGGAGTGTTCAAAATAGTGCCACTGAAAAAATCTTTGGGCTTAATGTTCACATTCTTTTACTAATCCTTTCCCAGAGATGTCAAATTGGCGTGCAGTAACTTTACCTCAGTAACATCAAGCAGCATTAATATTTCTAAAAAAACTGTACATCTTCTTTATTATATATAAATTATATGTAAGATTCATTTCAAAAACATACCCATTGTTCTTGTGAAGGACCACTTTATGTTCTACTGGAAACACTGTAACTTAGAAATGCAAAAGTAAGCCTGGCTGGTTTAGTATCCTTTCTTCTTTGAAACGTTCAAGAAATACTAAAAAAATTAAATATATCATTAAACTATTTTTAAAATATTAATAAATATTATAGGGTTTAAGGAAATAAAGGATATTACATATTCATTATTTTACACTATTTTATAGTAGTCTCTTCAACTGTGGACTATGATGGTTGTGAGGTACAGGACTGGAATGATATGGCTAGGATTCCAGTACCGAAGGAATTAATTCTGTCACTGACATGGACAACCTTTGTATACTACCCTTTTGTAGATGTTAAGAATTACTCACCTAGAACGAAGAACTTTAGGGAGGTTTAATTAATCCTCATTAAAAATGTAGCATAAAATCTAGCATAAAAAATGTAAAGTAATATGACGTACTGAATTATTCAATCTATCAAAGAATTTTTACTATCTTTAAAGAAAATACATGCCAGAATTTTAAGTACTGTTTTATAACTGGCATTGATACTTTTTACAGGAAAATACTTTTCAATGAACACACATACTTTTGCTTTTCTCTACTTTCTATACTTCTGCTCTTCTGTATCTGTTCTATTTACGCTTTTCACTCCTCTGAACATCACTGTATTCCTGTGCTTTTGTCTTTATTCTCTATAATCCGATGCGCATTGCACACCCTTCTGTAACGTGGCTATTAACACAGTGGATGCAGCACTCCTTCCGGGATTGACTGTGGCAGTGGACGCAGCACTCCCTCTTCAATTAGCACGGTTAGCTCTATCTGCCCCACCGAGCTGAAAGCAGTGTCCAAGATGGCCCCTAACATTCCACTGGAAATGGAACTTCCTGGTGTCAAGATTGTACATGCTCAGTTTAACACACCTATGCAGTTATACTCAGATGACAATATCATGGAAACACTGCAAGGCCAAGTTTCTACAGCTCTGGGGGAAAACCCTGTAATAAGGTAATTAGAGCAGTATCTTTAATATTTATGAAAATACAAATATAGAATATACAAAAAATCACGATTTTTCTATGAAAATGGGTAAAAGGGTTAGAGACATTAAGTCATTTAAAGCCATTCAATATTTTTATGAAAGTATTAGTAATTTACAATTTTTAACTCAAAGTATTAAAGGAGTTTTTCAGAATTTACAAATATTTAATAGGAAATAATCTTCTATTTGTAGCTAATAAGTAAAACCTGACAACGCCACCTGGACTATTAGCTGACTGAGCACTCCAAATCAAGATTCTGATTCCCTCTCAAATTCAAAACTGTTTATTAAAGTTATCATATTTATTTCATAACCATTTCATAACTTGTTCTTATTAATAAACTATTGTTATTAACTTCAATTTATCTCAGCTGTTGAAATTTAGGTTATGAAGCTTGGGAAATCTTGCAGATGATTATATTGATCTAGACATTTACCTCAAATTCAGCAGAACTCATTCAGTACAACTAGCTCTTGTCCAAAATTCCAGAATTGACTATATAGTACTACTAATCCATCTCTGGCTTATGAATTTTATCCACTACAATGACTAAAATCAGGTAGGAACCTTATGTATCTGGGGAACAATGATTATTATACAAGAAGTTTTAAAGCATTATTCGTTTCAAGGGACAATTCATCATACACGCTGCTTTATTTTTACCTTTGCATAATAGTAACTTATTTTTCTGTTTTACAATAGTACCTAAGTTAATAATTCATAATATGTATAGTCTAAACTAAAGCTAATTACTAATATTTTAAGTAAGCAACAATCACTGGCACCAACGAGCCTTCTTTAGCACCTTGCAGACCTGGGCTGTTACTAACCATAAATACCACATTTATATAGAAGTATTTAAGTTCAGTTTGAGAACTGACCTTCTACACAGGTTTGAAATGTCTCTTTGTTGTGGGATTGTTTGTCACTATGTATGCATTTAGAAATATTATCTCGCACCTTTCTGTCTTGCTTTTTGCCTTCTCTATGTAACTGTACTATCATTTGTTTAATGTTTAGAAATACTTTAGTAAAAGAGAGGGTCAAGGGTTTAACTAGCCACTGGTAAGAACTGCAGAAACTAAGCTCCTTCTATTCATTAAAAGCTTATGGCAGTTTCTTCACCAGCTTAAAGAATGGTCATAGAAATCTATGGATTGATGAAGATGCAAACAATTAACATAAGCAACACTGCCCAACTGCTGCTGCTCTTACTGGGCCATTTGACAGCCCTGGGAAACAAAACAAACCGTATTAAGCAAAACCCAGTCTACGTCCTTGTGGAATTAGATGCTTATTTCCAGTGGAAATTTACCTAAGGTTTAACAGACTGTAGGAGGCTAGTTGTAACAGGAAATTTAAACTGGACATTTATAGATAGAGCAGTGAGGTAACAGACTTCATTGAATTAAATTTGGACCTTTCCAATCAGTTCCAGTAGCAGTTTAAAATTTACAGATGCCATATATTCAGCCTAATTTCTGCCATTGCATATAGTCATTTACTCTTCCTCTCAACTACTTAGGAAATTAGTTAGCGTGATCAATTTAAAACAATCAGCACAGTTTAAAACACCATGAAATATTCTCAGTAAAATCTTTGGGTTATGGGTTGTTGTAAATTCAACCATCAACCATTGTTTGGAGAATAATTTACTTTATATTTTTATCCTAATATTGGCATTACAAAAAGTAAGCCATGTCCCATTCTATTTAAGAAACAGATTTTTCCATTCATCAGTGTTCACCTTACATGGTTCCTACCGTGCAATACCTACTCACCTTTTTTGTCATCACCAGAAATTAAATAAGTAACAATTATCTCAGCCAAATAATCACTATATTAGCCAGTGATCGAGCCAACTTAGAAAAGGATGAACACCTTCACATCATGATACTCTCCCAAAAGATTTGTTTGCTTAGGTTTTGGCTGACCTTATATAAACATATGAGCTGTGATTTTAACAACAGACCAGCTACTGTGAAAATGGAACTTCTGGATACCACATCAAAGAGCACCTTGTAATACAGCAGATCATTACAGGAACGCAACTGCTTTGAGGTTAAACACAGGCACCAGCCTATTTACAAATGCTGCTAGAACCAGAACAGTAATTATGGAAATATTTTCATGAGTTTGGAGATTTATTTTTGTAACAATTGCACAGATTATTTTTTTTTTTTTTTTTCTCTAGCACTTTTTAGATCAAGAGGAGGCTCTATAAAGAACTGCTACCTGGAAGAAAGACTCACTCAGTAGTTGTAGAAATACTATGTCTATTTTTTTTTTCTGAATCATATTCTATGCCTGGTAGAACTATTGCTTTAAGACTATGTTTGCTAAACTGCTTTATCTGCTCTTCCTCTTTCCAATACAGTGACCTACCTCCCAACTCTGTGCCTCAGTCTGACGTGTACAGGATGCTTCATGCCAACCAGGAGGAGCCCAGTCAACCTCGCCAGTCTGGCTCCTTTAAGGTGCTCCAGAATTTAGTCTCCGAGGAAGGTGATTTATAATGATATATTCTATCTGTTCAAAGCATTTTTAAATGTTTGTGGGAAAGGGGAATCAGAGAGGAAAATCTGAGAGCTCAGAGCTGTAAGAATTTCTGAAAGCCCAAGTCATTTTGAATCCTATAGATAGCACACCAGCCTCCTTTTTCCCCATTTGCTTGTATAGCTAGCAACCTCCTGCATGAATAAAATGGTGATGTTAATCACATTTTTCATAATCTCTTAATGTAAAAAGTTGGCTTTTACTGAATGATGAAAGTAGCATATGCTCATGACACTAAGGAAAAAAATACTCGTTTCCACATCCAGGAAAAGAGAAATTTAAACCAACTCTTAAAATAAGCTTCACCCATCCCCTCTTCATTCTAAATAAAAATGCAGGAGGACAATATAATTTACCGTCATATTTTCTTCAAATAAGTCTTTAAAATAACATTACTAAAGGCTGCAAGTTTGTTACATTAATAATAAAAATATTAAAATATTAATAATAAAAATAATAAGAAATAATATACAACCAACATTAATTTAAAAGGCAAATATTTAAAATTTCCATTTTCCTATCTCAGTATTTACCAGAGAAACATACCCCTAACTACATATATGGTTGTGGGATTTTGCTTGGTATTTTGTTGTAGTTTGCTGTAATTTTGTACATATCATACCACTAATCCTTCTGAATTTGTTGTATGGTTAGTTATATAAATAAGAAGCTTTCTAGTAGTACTTGACTGTGTTATGTTGCTATGTTAAAGCCAAATCCTTCTCCCTCTCCAGCTATAACCAAGCCCTACTATCAAAGAATTAGATGATGTCAATGAGACAGACAGCACTGTATATATAATCATTCCTGTATTTGGTTTTGGGGTACAGCTACACAATACTTTTCCCAATTCCAAAGAAGTAGAAACTTGTTCACTAAACTTGCATAGAGAAATTTCATTGTTTGCTGGTGTAAGTGAAATTCTGTAAATGCGTCCAGAAATTTATTTACAGGAAAAGTATTTAACTGCATCAGATGTTTCTGTATTAGCCTGTACATAATGACTGTTTTGGTTCTCAGATGGACGCCCTGTGGGTACAAGAAGTGTGAAAGCACCTGTAACAAAGATACCTACCGCCATGCCTGGTGCCCAGAAAGTGCCACTCTGTGACAAGTGTGGGAATGGGATTCTGTAAGTTGTTTCTTTTTAGTTTTAGAAAACTCTAGTTTAGACACATGTCCTCAAACACCACTGCAGACTACAGGAATGTTTTCCAAGTGATCATCTTAGTCTCTGCCTACACTAGTAGAAAAATGCTTTTGGAGAACAGAGATATACAAATATGTTGTTCCAAATTCCAAATTATTAATCTGTACCTTAGAACACAGTCACTGAGGAAATGTGGATTTTAAACTCATGTAGTCACCATTTTGACATGTTAGAATGTGCTTTCTGTGTTGTAACCAAACTAACATGTTTCTTCAAACTCTAGTTTTCTAATGAACTACTGAACTATGCCATCACCTCTATGGCATTCTATGTCACTTACTCAAATTCAGCTTCCAACCTTAAATTACATAGTGCTTAGCAAAACCACTAGATAAACAATCTAAAAGTCTTAAGATAAATACCTAGAGCTCACTTTGTGTCATACTGTAGTTTATTCTCATTTAAAATTTATATGAATTAATTGGGTTTTTATTTTCATTGTTTCCATACAGAGGAACAGTGGTGAAGGCACGTGACAAATACCGGCACCCAGAATGTTTTGTGTGCTCTGACTGCAATCTCAACCTGAAACAAAAAGGCTACTTCTTTGTGGAGGGCCAGCTATACTGTGAAGCTCATGCACGAGCTCGCATGAGGCCACCAGAGGGATATGAAGCAGTCACTGTTTACCCCAAATGCTAGTCTTACGTAACACACAAAGATATGCATGCACACAGAAAGACATTAACAGCTTAGAACTGCAGTACCAGTGTCAGGACATCTGTCTGATTCCAAAGTAGCAGCTTTTAAACCTCTCCTGTGGGATTCTGAGGCAGGTAGAAGTCCCTGTCAGCCAAGAGTAGCATATTATACCAGTAAAATTCTGCTAAAATATTGTCTCTGAAGTTACGAATATAACTCAATGAAGTATAAACTAAAACAGCTGCACTGGAATAAAAACAGTGAAACAGCTGAGGTATTACATGATTACATATACAAAGTGCTGTAATCAAGACATTATTTTCAACATAAATCAAGTTGATCTGTGCAAACACCAACGCCATCGAAGTGTTACAGGCTGGACCTTAAGAAATGTAGAAATTTGACAGATCATTAGAAAAGCAGCTATTTTACATGGATAGTACAAAAACAGTTGCTCCTGTCTGCTTCCACCATCTATCATTCAACTACCATTAATGTATGCCAAAAATAGATTTTTGCTTATTTTGCTTTGAAGTTATATTGACTTAATTTTCTGATGCAGCAACTGAGATAGGGAAATATCAAGTCATACAATACAATGGCTAGTATAATAAAGACTGTTTAGTGAGAAGCAAAACAGAAGTTCTATGTTGTTTTAATGATTTGCAACGACATCAGCTTTCACATCACTCAGCATAAAACTATGCTGAGACATGCACATATATTTTTGGAAAAAAAAACACACTCTAATAGGAACTGACTGAAAATTAAGTATGAAAGTAAATTTTTTAACCTTTCTGCACAAAATGGCATCGTAGTTTTTTGCATCTCCATCTTTCAATTTCCATAATAGCAACAATGAGGAATATAGTAATATTATTGCTGCTAAATTAAAACTTGAACAACTTCAAAACCAGAAGTGAATTAAAATATACAAAGAAAAGATCTTTTCTAAAAAGCCTGATGAAGGCCTAAGGGGGAAAAAAAGAAGGCTGAAAGAATGCAGTTTTTAAATCAATTTCTGAAACTTTTAAAGGGCTGCATTGCTTTTAGGTAGGCGCTGGCTACACAAACACACCTGACTGACAAATCAAACCTTAGCATTTTCAAAAAGTATCACCACAATTCATAGCTGATTTATTGGGGTATTTTGAACCCCACTTTAAAGTAGAAGAATCGACACCATTTTCTATCAAGTCTACAAGACCAGTAAAAATCAACAACTCAGTGGCAAGCAATCTTACAGACTTCCCATTCTAAGAAGTTTAAATGTGAGAAGAATGTGGAATTAAAATAAGAAGTTGTACATGCTGTAAATTAATTTTCAAAATTCAGATGGGTCCCAAAGTTTGCAATACAATGTCCACATATTCAAAGACTGACGTTTCGAAACATCTCAAAGTATTACTTAAGAATTGAAAAGTTTCAAAGATGTGTGTGCCACTGCATTTATAATTTATGTCTGCATATCAAAAGCAGACATGAAAAAAAAAGGATGTTGCACCCTTTTAAAGGTTGGTCCCTGAATTATTTGGGGGCACAAAACATAATTCTGCTCCTCATCCACCATGGAGGCTACGTGTAGCATTTATATTTTTCCACTGATAAAGCCCATGAAATGAATCTGAAAATCCTTTTGAAAGGGAGAGTGCACATTCTGTCTATTTTAACAAACCTAAAATGTAATAGGTGTTTTAAAATACTTGATGTTCATTTCTTCATGGAGTAACTGAAGGTAAAAATAAATCTACTACATATGCTAAAGTCTCTGTATTTCTTTTCAACTGGTAAGAAAAGTGAGAAAGTGCAAGTGTCAAGTAACTTGACAGTAATAGAAGTTTGGCATTTTCAGCCTGAGAGAGGAGTATGCTTCAGGTTTATCAAAACTCTGGAAAGAATGAAACACCATTTTTTTACTATGCATTTGAGTATATAACCTGGGCAAAATTAGCTTTCTAAAACTGAATGAGATCATGTACTTTCAAAACTGAAGACCCAACCTGCTTTCTCTTTAACAGGCCAAACATACCAATTGTAAATGTGGGGAAAATCTCAGAAATAAAGCTGCAAGAACCATTAGGTTAAAAGAAGGTCACAGAACATGACCTGATGCCAAAATTTTGGGGGAAGTTCAGTGGTACTGCATCATCCCGTAATGCTATTTTGAGAGCCTTGAGGTTGGACATGACTTTGATAGAATCAGAAGGTAAGCCTATCTAATTGCAACCACTGACCTATGTGAAAACCTTTATACCAATATAACATAAAAGAAACTAAGATTTTCAGCTAATGCAGATTCTAAAATCCTTGATCCTAATAGAGGAGGAGAAATAGGAAATTTTATCCTACAGTCACTTCAGTCTGGGGTAATTGAATCTAGAGATATAAACACAAGAGAAAGATACAGCAATTCGCTATCTGAATTCTTTAGCTCAATAGAGTGTCAGTGGTTCCTGGTACAAGTCCTTTAAAAGTGTCCAGGCTAAAAAACTACCCACTTTATCTTCTGGCTTAAGAATGACATAGTCAGTAAATCATGATTGCTTAATGCTACTATGCCTTTCAGCTGTGTTGACTTTTATATATATATATATTGCAAGGCAAAAGCCAAGGCATTTATTTTTAGATGGAGAGAAAGCTAGGAAGTATGACTTCACATGCTTGCTATCTCAACTCTTCAGATGTCGATCAACAGGTGTGAAAAGCTTTCCTCAGCTATGCTACTGCTACATAAACAGCAGGGCTTCTCTGGGAGATGTTAAAAAACTTGTATGGAACTGTAATACTATAAATAAGCCAAGAATTGTATCTGGAAATACACACATTAATTTATACGAGACTTTTGTATTAATTGTTCCAAGACAAATGCTTTTGGTCTTTTAAGTAATGCTGAAGTGTTGCCAACAATATGAAATTTAAAAAGTTCTCTAAAGTAGTTAAACGAAACTATGTTGTATCCATCAACTCAACACCTTCTGTCAGTTTTTCAACCGCATTTTATTAAGACTAACACTTTTGTTCTGATCAGAAATATGCCATTGAGAATAAACTCCTATTACTCCCATCTCCTGTATTTTAGTTTGCATGACACAACAGCTTCAGAGTGTACAAAGTGGTTTCCTTTATGATGAAATTAAACTAGCAGATGATCTCTGGGAGCACTGCTGATGCAACCAACCACTAATGGAAATGCATATCGGGTAGATGCCAGGTCCTCAATACCAACTGATTTGTTCCTACTGCACCACATTGCCTGTTAATGCAGACACAGATTGAAGCATGCCTTGCAACTGTAACAGAGAACAAGTTTTTTAACAAAAATTAAATTACTGACTGTTTAGAGATGTATCCAGTCTCAGAATTTGGACCCAACTTCTGATGTTCCAAAGCTCAGAGGTGTTTGATCAAGAATTTTGGTTCAAATTTCTATAAACCATATAAAAGAGAATAACTGTGCACTTGGGTGTAGGTCTGACTTGCATGTGAAACACATGCACTTGATTTAGACTCTGTGTTAGGGGGCCTTTTCCACAAGTTCAAGACTATTATTTACCAAGGGGGTTTATACATTCATAAAATAAAATGATGGGAAAGAAAACAAGTTTGTTGGCATACATCCAGCAAATTTTATCTCTAAAGATTATTCATGTATTTCTTAATACGTGAAGTTTTAAAATAAAATGCATACAAGTCTTCAATATACTCAGTACCACCAACTAAAATCTTTGTCTCCACAGCATATACTTGGCAAGTAATATTATCTACACAATGTCCAAGTTCACAAAGGATTTTGTTTCTATTTATGGTAAAGCACACATTTGTTTTAGCATACTGAGTGAGTGGTTTTAGTTCCATTCAGTCTACCTAATCCTCCTTCTCCCCACATCAGGGCATAATCCAAAGACCAGTAAAGCTTTTAGGAGAGTCTTGAAAGGTTGCTTATTATATTACTCTGAAAAAAACAAAACAAAACAAAGCCCCATGCTCTCTGGCACAGGCTTGGACAGTTGTCCAAAATAAAATTTTAAAGAAACACTGTTTCATACAGTTCACAGGCTGACAAAATGACAGCTGTGTTGGAGTGACAAATCCAGAAACATCAGAACTCTAGAGAACTCTAGAGCAGCTACAGATTATTATTTATTACCAAGAAAACAAAATATTCAGCAAATGCCAATAAGATCCTGAGCAGAAAGAATCCCTTGCAAGCTTTCCATGGTCTTTTTTTTTCCAGATGCTGTTCAAAGCCACATTTTTACAGATGTCTCATTCTCTGTATAATGATCTTTTTCTTAACCTTTTTAGTATATTCTTTATTTAAGAGGTTTTTAATTACCCTGCTAAACCAGTAGCCTATAAAAAGTTAAAATATTAATTAGACCAGATATACTAAAGAGATATGACTGGAACAGTATGTTCTGTGGGGAAAAAAAAAAAAAAAATAACAGAAAAAACAAAACCAAAACCCATGCAGCCAAATTGTCTCTAGCACACTCAGGCCAAAACAAAGTTTCCTTACTACCCCAAAGAGCAACATTTGAGTGCACCCTCAGCAAGCCTGCTGATGACACCAAGCTGTGTGGTTTGGTTGATAACGCTGGAGGGCAGGAATGCCTTCCAGAGCCACCTTGACATGCTTGTGAGGTGGGCTGATGCCAACCTTATGAAGTTCAACCAAGTCAAGTGCAAGGGCCTTCACCTGAATTGGGGCAATCCCAGGCACAGCTACGGGTTGAGTAAAGTAGTGATTCAGAGCAGCCCTGCAGAGAAGGACTTGGGGGTGTTGATCAATGAGAAACTTAACATGAGCAGACAGTGTGCGCTTGCAGCCCAGAAAGCTAACCGTATCCTGGGCTGCATCAAAAGGAGTGGGACCAGCAGGTCAAAGGAGGTGATCCTGCCCCTCTACTCTGCTCTCGTGAGACCCCACCTGCAGTATTATGTTCAATTCTGGGGCCCCCAACACAAGAGGGATATGGAACTGTTGGAGCAAGTCTAGAGGAGGGCCACAAAAACACTCAGAGGGCTGGAGCACCACTCCTATGAAGACACATTGAGAAAGATGGGCTTGTTCAGTCTGGAGAAGAGGAGGCAGCGACCTTATACCAGTCTTCAAAACCAAAAGCAGGCTAATACAACACAAGAAATCTGGAGAGAGACATATTACAAGGGAATGTAATGATAGGACAAGGGGGAGTTACTTTAAGCTGGAAGACAGGAGATTTACTAATTAGGAATAGATTTATTATGAAGAAATTCTTTACTGTGAGGGTGCTCAGACACTAGAACAGGTCACCCATGGCTGTGGTGCTCCATCCCTGGCAGTGTTCAAGGCCAGGCTGGATGGGGCTTTAAGCAACCACGTCTAGTGGAAGGTGACCCTGCCTGTGGCAGGTAGATAATCTTTAAGGTCCCTTCCAATCCTAACTATTCTATGATTCCACGATTTTATGGAAAGCCTTTAGGGTTTCAGTACCAACACCTTACACTCCTGCCACAAGGCACAGAAATTCAGTCAATTTGCATACAGAAAGGAATCTAAGTTTCCCAGCACCAGTTTTGCAGCCAGTGTTCTAATATTTTCCATGAATAGCATCCCTTTCTACCGTTTTACTTTTATAAAATTCCCTCAATTTCATTTTACTTTCACTGCAACAATACCCCTGCCTTTGAAACCATAGTAACTTTTACATAGAGCTCCTGCTCACTGCTCAAGATCTCTTGCATATCTTTGAGTAAGTCAATTCAGAACTATATGCAAGTAGAAGGTATGAGGTGAAAAGTATAATTGTTTCAAAGTGAGATTCTTCTGCTGTCTACTTTATCTCATTTTATTAAATAAAGCATATATTACAAGAACACTCAGAAGCAGAGATGGCTCAAGTGTATCAGCCACTAGGTAGAGAATAAGAAATAAGTGGTAGCTCACAGCCTAAAATCCAGCCTAAGCAGACAAGGCAGTTACAGTATGGAAAGGAAAAGACACACTATGAAGGATAAATGGCATGATAATTTATAAACATTTTGTTGTTCTGTTTTTTTATTTCCCATAAGGTTGGTGGGCCAAGGCTAAAATAAAGAAGCTGTTGGAATTACAATGTGAGAGGAACAGGCACAAATAACTGTTCAGCACAAAGAAAGAACACAGAGAGTAAAATGTGCACAAATTAGTCATACACCAAGACACCAGCAAGATCTTTTAGCAGCTGATCCAGTTGCTGGCTACTTGTGACAATTTATCTCTTCCCTAAACATAAATGAATTAAAAAAATGGGAGATCAGGTAAGGATCCTGCACTATGTTAACAGAACTAGTTCTTTACCCTAGAGTTGAGTATAAATTAATTTATAACTACACAATCTCATGGATTTCAACAGATTCTTTGATCCTAACACAGGATTATAATTCTAAAAATGTTCACTCATTTCTTCTCTGACTCATACTTTAGGTATCCTCTTCCATTCTCACTATGACTTGTTATGACATTCTTCTCTATGAATACATATACCACACAGCCCTGTTAATTGCCTTTCCTACATACTTCCCATATACTGCTTACTAACAACTGACTTTCCTGAATCAAGAGCTATGCTCATGTTTGACAAGGGTATGAAAGTGTAGCATTTCAGAAATTATGCACTGAGCTTTAGTGCTCTCTTTCCTTACAGGTCCTCAGAAATGCTAATGAGGTGAGTCTCTTTATTAAGTGTCAAGTTCTAATGACCTTGTGACATAAAGGCTGTTCTTTGGAAGTGATACCTAAA